GAAGATCTGCACAGGTGGTGTACAATAAGGCAAAGATGCATAAATGTTAAGTTTATGCTACATAAACATGTTTAAACAAAACATTCATCACTTTTTCATTTGTCTGCCCTACAAAATAGTTTATAATGCACAAAGTATTGAGGCCAGAGCTGAAATTAAATTGTGTTTGTTTTTGGTCTACAGGAGGAGAGCTGACTAGCTTAAAGAAGAGAACAAACACTTTCATGCACAGGAGATGATGCAAAATCCAGATATACCAGCCTAATCAAGTTCCCAACCGTGGGTTGTGAGGTGACACAACAAAGTACTGAACTGCCAACCTGGTGTGAAGGAATCAAAAATGCATAATTAATGGTAATTCAAGGATGCATGTGTCAATAAAACTACTAAATAAATGATTTATTATAAGTTTGAGATTGAAAATGAGAATTGTGTAATTTTATGACATCATAGCAATTATTTTACATCCAAACATAGAAGTCAGTCACCTCGATCCTCTGTTAATTTGCTACAAGCAGCCCAAAGGGGACAAATAAAACAATAGTTTGGTGGATGATGCTTTTTAAAATGATTTTGGTTCCGTTGGTTTAGTTTTGCAGCTAGTTTCTAAAAACTCTGAGTATAGTAGCTTAATTATATAAAGTTCTTGTTCAGCAGTCTTCACAAGGTGAGATGACGTTTTTACAGAGCCATGGATCTGACATTCTTAACCAGTTTCCCCACTATTTGGATGAGTGTTTTTAATAAATAAATTGTTTCACATGTTTCGAGGATTGCAATAGAAATTTTAACTTTTAGATAAAATATTTAAAACAATAGAAAAACTAAACATCAAAACGAATCAGCCCTGCAGCGATCTTTGTTTGGGGATTTTATTTTTCCTCACATTTCAAAACTACAAACATCTAATGTTGCCAGAGGTCTCGTGAAAATCTTGAGGTAAAGCAACAATTGTGCAGAAGCAGAAAAAAAAGCTGAAACAGTGAATTATTTTTGCATGCACATTGGGTGCTCTACACATTATTTAATACCTCGTCTCAGTTATTTGAAAACAATGCGTCTTTTTAGACGACGTGACTAACGGCTCCAGCCAGATGGGGACATTAAAACAGCACAGCGCCACAAAAAGCTTTGTGTCATTAGTTTTAGTAATATGACAGGATCTAAATCCCTCTGTGCTGTAATGAGTTCAGATTCATCAGGGATGTTTCCCGTGTTTTTGGTCACACAATGAAAAACAATTCCTTTAAAGGGTTTGTGCCAGCGCAGATCCAAGTCTGCAACTCTTTCAGTGGAAAGGAGAAATCTAATTTGTATCAGACACTACACTTTCAATATTTGGTTGATAAATAGTGTAGACACTTTCAGAATGCTAAATGGATATTTATGCTTGTTTTGGAAATTACCTTTCCCCTTCTCTGTTAGAAAGTTCAACCATCTGCTTATGACCACAGGCATGAATGAAAATAAAATCTTTGCACAACTTGACTCGTAGAAAATCGTATCTACCCCTTTGGCGCTCAGTTGGAGAGCATCTAAAGAGAAATGGTGGGGCAGAAACGTTGCAGCTCTGAGCACAGAGTGTTATGTTTTATTCACGGCCGGAGGAACCGATAAAAAACTGTAAAGTACGCTCGAAAAATTACTTCCGTGTAGATAGGATCCATATACAGGCCCTTCTCAAAAAATTCGCATATTGTGATAAAGTTCATTACAGAGCTCCGGGAGTTGACGTCACTTCTCCCGGCATGCAACAGTTCAAATTGAAATGGCGCCGTCTTGGCAGGGAGAAGCCCGGAGCTGGACTATTTGTTATTGTCAGAAAACTCAATCAAACGGGAAATGTGGTAGATTCCTGTTGTGCCCCAGGATGCCAGAACAGATGCGGACGACATAAGGAATGAGCCATCTACAGGATTCCCCAAGATCTGGAACACCACAAACGTTGGCTCATTGCAATGAAACGCTTTAGCCTCCAGGCTAAAATGAAGTTGTGGGATCCCGAGAGTAAAGGTTTTCGCTTATGCAGCGACCACGTCATATCAGGTACTTAAACCGTTTCCTCAACTGTGTATGGTATTTATTATAAATGCTTTTATTACGATTCTTAGTGGGCTTCCTAAACTTATTTTGGCGTGGCTTTTTCTGTCTTATTACTCATAGCAGCAAGTAAACATCACGTAAAACGTTGCCTCGTGAGTTCTGCGAGCTGCCGTTTACGTTGTATGATCAACGCAATTAACCGACTAAGCTGTATTCAATTTTCAAGCAATGGTTGATCAATTGTCAGATCACACATAAAAGCACTTTGGATTGCTATTATCTGTCTCACCGAGACAGATCTCAGACAGATCCTGAGATGCTCCTGCCTGACATATTTATTATATTCATGGAAAAAAATCAGACTAGTGATTTCCTCAATTGTTTGTAATGTACTGATAAACATTAGACTTTCATCTATATTAGATTCATTACACACAACTGAAGTAGTTCAAGTCTTTTGTTGTTTCTAATATTGATGATTTTGGCATACAGCTCATGAAAACCCAAAATTCATATCTCAAAAAATTTGCATATCATGAAAATGTTCTCTAAACGAGCTATCAACCTAATCATCTGAATCAACTAATTAACTCTAAACACCTGCAAAAGATTGCCAAGGCTTTTAAAAACTCCCAGCCTGGTTCATTACTCAAAACCGCAATCATGGGTAAGACTGCCGACCTGACTGCTGTCCAGAAGGCCATCATTTACACCCTCAAGCAAGAAATTTCTGAACGAATAGGCTGTTCCCAGAGTGCTGTATCAAGGCACCTCAGTGGGAAGTCTGTGGGAAGGAAAAAGTGTGGCAGAAAACGCTGCACAACGAGAAGAGGTGACCGGACCCTGAGAAAGATTGTTGAGAAGGACCGATTCCAGACCTTGGGGACCTGCAGAAGCAGTGGACTGAGTCTGGAGTAGAAACATCCAGAGCCACCGTGTACAGGCGTGTGCAGGAAATGGGCTACAGGTGCCGCATTCCCCAGGTCAAGCCACTTTTGAACCAGAAACTGCGGCAGAAGCGCCTGACCTGGGCAACAGAGAAGCAGCACTGGACTGTTGCTCAGTGGTCCAAAGTACTTTTTTCGGATGAAAGCAAATTTTGCGTGTCATTCAGAAATCAAGGTGCCAGAGTCTGGAGGAAGACTGGGCAGAGGGAAATGCCAAAATGCCTGAAGTCCAGTGTCAAGTACCCACAGTCAGTGATGGTCTGGGGTGCCATGTCAGCTGCTGGCGTTGGTCCACTGTGTTTTATCAAGGGCAGGGTCAATGCAGCTAGCTATCAGGAGATTTTGGAGCACTTCATGCTTCCATCTGCTGAAAAGCTTTATGGAGATGAAGATTTCATTTTTCAGCATGACCTGGCACCTGCTCACAGTGCCAAAACCACCGGTAAATGGTTTACTGACCATGGTACTACTGTGCTCTATTGGCCTGCCAACTCTCCTGACCTGAACCTAGAGAATCTGTGGGATATTGTGAAGAGAAAGTTGAGAGATGCGAGACCCAACACTCTGGATGAGCTTAAGGCCGCTATCGAAGCATCCTGGGCCTCCATAACACCTCAGCAGTGCCACAGGCTGATTGCCTCCATGCCACGCCGCATTGAAGCAGTCATTTCTGCAAAAGGATTCCAGACCAAGTATTGAGTGCATAAATGAACATAATTATTTGAAGGTTGACTTTTTTGTGTTAAAAACACTTTTCTTTTATTGGTCGGATGAAATATGCTAATTTTTGAGATAGGAATTTTGGGTTTTCATGAGCTGTACGCCAAAATCATCAATAATAGAAACAATAAAAGGCTTGAACTACTTCAGTTGTGTGTAATGAATGTAATATATATGAAAGTCTAATGTTTATCAGTACATTACAGACAATAATGAGCTTTATCACAATATGCTAATTTTTAGAAGGACCTGTAGAAGCGTGTTTGTTAGTGCAGGAAAAAGGTGTAAGAGCAGTAACTCTCAATAGTGACATGTAAAGGTCATTTTAATGAAGATTCTAGAAATAACGTGTTTCATATTTTGTAATAATAAGATATGGTCATATAGATATAACTTCAATAGCCCCGTTCTCTACTCACTGGGGGGAGATGTATGCTCCCTACAGTTTGTGAATAACTTCCGTATTATTAGCTTGAAAATAAAGAAGATAAAACAAACAAGCTAGTGTAGTTCTGCTCCAGTGTAACTTGACCAAACACTGAAAGCTGATTCTGCCACAAAAACAAAAAGTGACAATACTGTCTAATGAGGTTGTGCATTTTATTTTGTTTCATTTTGGAATGGTTCCAAATGATCTCACAGGTCACAAAAGTGGTTCAGCCAATCACAGAGCGATTAAAACTTTAAAACTGGTAAATGGCCTGTTTGGGATTCAACAACCCACCCACACACACACACACACACACACACACACACACACACACACACACACACACACACACAAGCTGGTGGGGATGAGCTACATTGTAGCCACTGCTGCCCTGGGGCACACTGATAGACCACCAGCAGCAGGTTAACTGTCCTGCCCAAGGGCACAACAGCACATTATGGTGGGAGCAACCTCCCTCCCATTACCCGCTCTACCTCCCGAGCTACTGCTGCCCCATGCAAGTGTTTTTATAACCAATTTAAAATGAAACTATAAAAATCACCTATTTTTGTGGGTTTATTATCTTTATTTTTAAATCAGATGTTCCTTCATGAATAAACTCATTACCCTGGACCTCCATAATCTGTAAACTTGAAAGGAAGTGCAGCAGATCTGAGCTATGCTGCCCTCTCTAGTTGGGGTTAGAAATTAACCATCTCATTTTTATGCAATTTTGTTTAATTTGGTGAAAGTTAAATCCATTTGCATGATGCCCACGCGGTAGCCAATCCTGTCGTGCTCTATTATCTATTTATCTGCGTGCATAAAGACGCAGCAGCATCCCAGAGCTCGCGCCACCACCATCGTGAATGCTGCCAGCTGCAACTTTTGTCCCCGCGCAGCTGCTGGTGGTTCCTCCTCGCGCACAAGCTGTCTTCATTTAAAGTCAAGAGAGGCAGCTGGATGATGTCATATCCGCGATGAAGGGTCCCTGAACGCAGCTCGGATTCTCGCTGAATGACCACAAACTTTTTTTTATTTTTTTGTCAATCTTTTTTGCAGAGACGCGATTTTTCCCCGCTGCCCGCATGGCACGCGTGACGGGCACGGGTGGATGGACGTGCCCACCTCTTCCTCAGGAAGTCACAGTTTTTACCAGAGCGTAGTGGACACGGCGGAGGGCGCGCACGGAGGCGAACTTTCGTGATTTATTTATCGTTATTCTCCATCTCGCTTGTGGCGGAGGAGGTGGAGGTATGACAGCATACAGAATGTGGTCGCTGTCCGTGGTGCTGAACCCGCTGCTGTTTCTGCTGCTGTTCGGATCCTGTCCAACCGCGGTGAGTTCTGTCTGACCAAAGCCTCACGTTTCCCTCTGGGAAATGTTTTTACTGACAAGTTCAAGAAATCTGGCTCTGCTTTAATTTGGGTGGAACTTTTCCATGATTCATTTCCTCATCAATACTTGGATGAGTCATATCAGCTTCCTGCAACGGTTGCATGCTTGAGTGGTTTTTTGCCATTGCTGCTGTCACCTGTACACACTTCAGAATGAGCACTGATTTATAAGAAAATGCCCCAAATTACTTTAAGTTTAACAAAAATTATGTTATAGGTGTTTATAATGTGGAGGCTATGAAAAAAATGAAGATTCGCTCTGATACTGGCTGGCATCTAACTCACTTTTTAAGGAATAGGTCGTATCTTGCTATGTAGATGTGTTGAAAACGTCAGCATAAGGCCCCTGAAATGTGTTTGGAAGCAATCTCCAACCAGAAGAAGCAGCTTTCTGATTACCAAGCCAATTGGACAAGAACATTGCTCGATTAGGATCATCCCACCCATGCAGAGAGTGCCATGATTGCAAAGCAGTTCCTTCACCTTGCCATGACTGGAAGCTATGTGCTGAAAAGAGCATTCCTCTGAAAGACGAGGAAAAGGTGTCCAGGCTGCAGAAATACTCCTTCAGATAAGTGGGGGGGGAGTCCCTAAACAAATGGAAGAACCAGATGTCTGGATTGTTGAATGAGAGGACAAGTGTTTGTACAGAGTTGCAAACAAAAGGAAAAGTGGCAAGTGCATATGGCTTGGCTGAGTGACAGAGTCCTTTTTAATATGAGGAAATGTGAGAGATGGGAAGAGGCAAAAGGATGTGAGTCAAGCTGGAGGCAGAGGAGAGGCTATTAAAAAACAGTGGGTTTAGATTTTTCTTTTCAATGCAGAGAAAAAAATCTAGATTGTATCAAATGCAAGTTAATCACAATTCTTATCTAAGACTTAAAAAACATGTAGGTGAAATGTAAACGGTAATAATTAAACTGGATGTTAGGTTTTATGATATATAAAAAATTAGCCTCTTGCAGAAGAAAGATGACGAGTCAAATGTTGAGCTGTCCGCTTACTGAAAAGTTTATGCACACCCAGAAAGGACGTGATCTTTCATGGCCCAATGCTCTTTAAAGAGCTCTGACTGTCTGCAGTGAAAAGACTGGAGAATGGGAAGAAAAGGCTGCTCTTGGACAACATGTCCCTTCTTCAATGCCTCCTTCAAAACCTGCTGGATTGTTTGAATACTTTGCGTGCTATTCGTCCTCCTTCCTTCATTTTACAAAAATCTGGAGGATTTATTCACGGAGACATTTACACTCATTCATTCCCCATGCTGACAGCAAACAGCAGCTTTCTTCACATGCAGATGTTTGAGGGCCTGGGAGTTTTCCAAAACTTCTGATCAAAATGTCTGGAACAAAACTAGTTTTCCACTTTGTCATCAATTAAAATAATCTGCACATATTTCAAATGAATTCCTTCATTTTCTTGCTTGTTTCATAGAATTGTGCTTTTTTGCTAATGAGTTTATAAAATGTTTTACCAAGTTTGTTTCCTTCTCCCTGCATTTTTTTTTTCATTTAAGACCATGGACAGGCTTGTGAGGAGAAACAGGCATTTTCAACAGTTGGGTTATTCATCAAGGCTAGGAAACACTGTTTATTGTTGAAGTGGCTATTCACTGGAGACCAAACACTGTGAGCTGAGGAATATGTTCCAGCCAAAGCATTTTGTTGTTTCAAAACCGAGACTATTTGGAAGTCAGTGGAATTGGTTAGTGTCAAAACTTGCAGAAAATAAAGCTAAAGAATGGATGACCCCATGAGGGAAAAAACTATCTATATAAAACGTGCTGCGGTATCATACTAGTGAAATTATCAGTGTGTTTGTTTGTGTCCAGAGAAGTGTGTTTGGTGTTTTTAAAAGTGTGTGTGTGTGCGCTTCTGTGTGCAGACCATCAGGCCAAAGGAGGGCTGGCAGGTGTACAGCTCAGCTCAGGATGCAGATGGGCGTTGTATCTGCACAGTGGTGGCACCAGAACAGAATCTCTGCTCCAGAGATGCCAAAGGCAGACAGCTCCGACAGCTCCTAGAGAAGGCATGTGCACGCACATGTGTGTTTGCACGCACGCACGCACGCACGCACGCACGCACACACACACACACACACACACACACACACACACACACACACACACACACACACACACACACACAAGCACACCTTAATTCATACAGACATCACATCAGGTTATTCTTCACAGTGTTTTGTTTCCATGATTTCCCGAGTGACTAGTCCAGAACAGCATTTTCCACTTCTGCATATATTACATGGATGATATCAGTTAAATGGCAGTTCAACAGGGTGAGAATGTTCTTCATGTCACTAACAGATCAGTGGTTCACATTATTTTTATTTATTTATTTTGCACCTAATGAAACTATTCAATATTTAGGATGTGTAAAAACATCATTTTTGATTCTCAAGCTTTCATTTGAACTCCATTGTGTGTTTTCATAACAAATATGAAATTCAAATTGAGTCCATCCATTCAGCCACCCTTTATCTAAACAGCTCCATCCTCACTAGGGTGGGGGCCACCCTGGACAGGTCGCCAGTCCATCTGAATCTAACTCATCATCACACGGATGAAACTGGAAAAATTGAGAATATGTTTTAAAAATCAATTTATTTCAGTAATTCATCTTAGGCTGAGAGACCATTTAAAGGCTCGGGAACCCTTTGCAGGTGTTTTAGATTCATTAGCTGATTAGAGTGTGACACTTTGACCCTAGATTATTGACACTTTCCACAATATTCTATTTGAGATCCGTTGGTAAGGTGGTACAGTCCAGAGTTTCTCAACCCTGGTCCTCAGCGCCCCCCTGTCCTCCATGTTTACTATGTTGCTGTTTGCAACAGCATTGTTTCTCTGCTGCCACACACCTGACTTAAATGAATGAGTGATTAGCATGCTTCTGCAGCACTTGATGTCATCCTAAGAAGGCAGTGCATGTATGTGAACCAGGTGTGATGTGGAAGAGACATGGCAGAGGTTGTGAATGCTGTCGTACACAAACACAAAATACCTCTAGCTTGCAATGATTTAGATACTGCCCCCATCACCAGGGAAAATATACACTGTCACTTTAAGCTGAATTACTGAAATAAATGAACTTTCTACAATATTGTAATATTTCCATTCTCACCAATATTTGTTGTCAACGTAGAAGTGATTATAAGCATCATTCTCAGAGAGTTAGCTGCACACTGAGAGGGAAACAGTACTGTAACCTACATTTGATTGTTATATGTCCGTGCACGTTTTCTATCACTTACATGGGCCTCTGACACTAATGTACTAAGTTGCCTCAGGACATGAGTTGGGCCATTTCAGGATCCCTTTACCAGAGCCAGAACTGTGAGTGTTGCACCACTTTGCTTTTCACGTGCTCTGGTAATGTTGGCTTGTTACAATTAGAACCAAAGAGAGAAGAGAAAGGACGTTTCTTATTGTTCATGCGCCCCATAAACCTAGGAGCTTTTGTTAAAGCACAAAACGGTCTTTACATCTAATCTCCTCTCAGAAATACGGCATCGGTGTTGTAGTTTTATTTTTGTGGGAGTTAAAAATCAAAAAATGATTCAGCTCTCAAGGATTAAAACAGAATTCTAATTAGTGGGAGTAAAGACAGAGGGAGATCTGCCATGTAACGGTCTAACATGCATGTAAAATACATCTCAAGTCGTATCCTCCAAGTTTGTTAAAAGACAATCATGCTAGAGGTCAAAATGTTGATTCTTTCCAGGAGAAGTTAGAGAGAGGCGAGCTACTAAACGCCTGAAGAAGGACATTTTAATCTGGTGGTGGATGGAAAAATCAATGCTGCACTTTTTCATTCTTCTCAAAAGGTGCAGAACATGTCACAGTCAATCGAGGTGCTGAACCTGCGGACGCAGAGAGACTTTCAGTACATCATGAGGATGGAGAGCCAGATCAAAGGACTTCGGTCAAAGTTCCGGCATATCGAGGTGGACAGGAAGACGCTCGTCAACAAAAACTTTCAGGTACTGTTTTGTTTGATGTTGAACTCTGTGCGAAACATCAGAAGAACGTCTGGCAAGAGGATTCCTTTCTGAAGATGCATGCGAAGCATGTGATTAGGTGAGCTTACACTCCTGGTAGGATTATTTCAGCTTCGCCTCGGCAACACAAAGGCAACTTCAAAACAGAAATCTTTGGATACTTTGATATTTGTTTGAACTTTACAAAGTCAAAGAATTGTTTACAGAATTGCCAGAGGACAAAACCTTCATGGTGTAGAAGTGAGCGAGCATCGTTCTCAGAAGTTCTGTTGGTACAGTGTTTTATTCCCTGACTAAATCTGTGAGGTGGAAAACATACTTTACTTCAGATTAAATTGATTAAATACTTCAGTTTTTAAGACTAAACATCACGGATTAAAGAGCCTGGTGCTAAATTTAAAGTGGAAACATATTCAGTGGTGGAATATGACTGAAGTACAACGGTGCACAAATACCTTCTTTGATCTCAGGAACCCTCCAAATCACCCCTGACAGTTCCATAATTTTCTGAAAACACCAAATAATTGCCCGCACCAAACAGCAGGAATCCAATAATCATAAATCCAGAAATCCGCACTTCTTCTGAATCTTCCAGGGAAAGCAGAGACAGAATCATTATGTTCCAAGATTCCATCTGGACATGAGGGACCCTACCGCTCTGTTCTTAGTGTGGAAAAGATTTGATCAATTACATTCAGACACCAGCTCACCAGATCCATGGTTTTAAAAAAACTGAAGTTTTCTACTGGTTACGCCTGTTGTTAATGAGATAACTGATGAGTTACTTCAACATTTAGAATCAGGTGTGTGATCGGGAACATATCAAACATTACTTGTTAGTTAGGCTATTTGTGTGCACGGAAGAAGGTGTGGTTTTCAGCTCCTTCCAGAAGGGGGGGACAGGGGCGGGAACTAAAACCGTTCAAATTTTCAAATCTCCTCCTCTGCTTGATGACATCACAATGTGGACACCAGGTTTAAAGGTCAACTTTACTCATATGTTTAATACATTTGCAGTGGTCTGTAGTAGGAATGAATGCCTTGTAAGTCGTCCTCTGGGAAAAAAAAGCTCCGGTGTACCTGTTTCAGGATGGAGAAGTCTGAAAGTAGCTTCAGACGACAGGATTTGGAGTCTTATCTTCTGATATTTGGACATCTCATCTTGGATTGGCTAACAGCAACACAACTCAACCACTGACTCCTTTTGTTTTCTGACTGAAGTTGACTTTTTAAAGTCTAAATTAAAAGACTAAAATTACTTTTATCATACTAATATCAATATGGACTTCATTAACCATACCAAACATAAATAATATTAAAGAGAATAAATAGATAATTCTGTAAATTTAACATAAAGTATGTGACACTAATGATTTGAACTTAAACTTCTACTTCACATGAGTAAAACACAAACACAGTGTTGATATAAAAGCAGAAAAAAGCTACTAAAAGTAAAAGGTCAGAGTGCACAAATTGTTAACGCAGAAGAGTCGGTGCATGGAGTTGTAGAGAAAAATGGAAACCTATTTTTAGTGTGGATTTTACTCCGCCGGTGTGTTTTGGCTTCATTCTGCTTTGTTTGAGGTGATTTTTAAAAAACACCTCAAGATACATCAGTTTGCATGTTAATAATAATAATAATAATAATAATAATAATAATAATAATAATAATAATAATAATAATAATAATAATAATACATCGAACTTGTATAGCGCTTGTTTAGGACACTCAAAACATTTGCATGCACTCTCACATTCACACACTGCCAGTGATGGTAAGCTACTTTGTAGCCACAGCCGTCCTGGGACGGTCTGACAGAGGCAAGGCTGCCATTTGGCGCCGTCGGCCCCTCTGACCACCACCAACACAGGCAAGTTGGGTGAAGTGTCTTGCCCAAGGACACAACAGCAGAATACCCCCTGGCGGGAGCTGGAATCAATCCCATGACCCTCCGATCATGAGGCAACCCGCTCTGCCTCCTGAGCCACTGCTGCCCCAGTTATTCATTAAAAGAGGCTTCGCCCACATAGGGTGCCCATGGAGGAATTTGGGATGCACCAAGTTATATTTACAGCTTATACGTCTTATTTTTGATTATTTTCCTTCATAAACAGAAACAGTCAATTTTTCTTTTCATTACAAAAATGTATGAATAAGTTATTTCAGAGATTTTACCACCTTGCATCAACTGGCAGATCTGATTCTGTAATCCACTGTTGAAATTCTTACAAAACAGATAAACAAATACGCTTAAATTGCAAGACAAGAAGGGTTGAAAATCGTTAAATCTTTCAACAGCAAAAACACACGTAAAGCATCCAGGACACAATTTCTAGTTATTTCATTAGTTAATCTTTTTTTTTTACTTCTTCCGGTTGATATATTGTGTTGTGATTAAACTTTAGACTGTTTATTCTGCAAATAATACATCATATTTTACTGTTTCTTCATATCAAAAAGGAACAAAAGATATTTATTTGCCTCATTAATCAATACTGTTAGTGAAATTATTTCAGATGGAGGTAAATGCTACAAAAACATGGAGACTCGTGGTCATATGCTTAGAAAAGATGCACAATTTTGTACTGTTTTCATTGATTTACATTGTTTGCCTTCTGCTGTCTTTTCCAGGAGCTAAAGGGAAAGATGGAATCCCTGCAGCCACTGATTCCTGTTCTGGAGCAGTACAAGACCGACGCCAAGCTCATCTCCCAGTTCAAAGAGGAGATCAGAAACCTGTCCGATGTCTTGATGGGCATCCAGGAGGAGATGGGAGCCTATGACTATGAGGAGCTGCAACAAAGAGTCCTAAACTTGGAGAATAGGCTCCACAGCTGCATGAACAAACTCAGTGAGTTCTAAAGAATGACAAGCACATCACTCGCTGCCTCCATCAGAGCAGCACTTTTGATACGGAGCACGAGGCACTGCAGAACTGCACCCAGAGAAGGAAAAATAATTGGTCTTGATTGAGAAAAAAAGCTGTTTGGGTATTTCCTCCCCAGTTTAGGAATACATTTTTTGTAAAAACATGAAGCTTTGTGTCATAATAGGAAGGGCATGCAAGGATTTCTCTAAATAATCAGAAGTTGACCTTTTTATCTTTTCTCTTTTGCTTTTCCTTTCCTGCTTTGACGTTTTGGCAGAAAAAAGCTGTGATTATGTTACTCCACCCACTGAGGTTTAACTTGACCAAAAGAATCCATTTAGCCTTCATAGTGTCTTTGTTAAAGGTTTGCATAACTTAAGCTCTAATTTTCCAGCTGCTCAGTTATACGTTGTGCCAATGTCAGTCTGAGTGTCGGCGTAAATAACCAATGTGTGCTTTCTAAAGGTTGTAGTTAGGGTTTTAACCCTCTAGGGTCCATGGAGGCGTATCCGTGTCTTTTGAACAGGTCTGATTTGGGATGCTGTAGCAGCAAGACTCCGCCTCCCTGAGTTTTGATTTCAATTCAGCTTTAAAAAGGAGATTATAAACTACACCCCAGTTTTTAAATTTTGTTAATAGGCAATGTAAAAGCGGAGTTATACTAAACTAAAAACGACCTATTTTTAGACACTCTGATAACTTGTCAAAACAGCAGTTTAGTAATCCGTGAGAGGGAATGTGCTTGTGAACATAAAAAACCCACAAAAACATGAGATCCTTTTGCTGTTGGTGGAAGTCTCACATATTCAATTGATAAAAACTATCATTATGTAGCTGAGAGAGAGGAAGGCTGCACGAGTAACGAGATGTGTGCAAAAATGAGCCGCTTCGCGGGGAAAGGAGTGGCGCAAACAGAGTAACAACAAACAATTAGACAGATATTGATGGTAAACTTCATATTTTGGAGCGATCCGGACAGACATATTGTCTCTGCAGTTTAGTAGGTTTTTATTAGGCTTATATAAAGGATGATGAGAAGGATAAATGTCCACCAGGCAGTTCAGATAGTACGGCTGTTCTTTTGAACTGGAAACAGAGGAAGTGGACGGAGACTCACAGCTGGAGTCTGAGGAAAATAGCGAGGATGTTGACGACAATGTGGCAGATCCAGGGGCGGATTTAGGACTGAAGAAGATCCGGGGCTTAGCACACGCACACACGCGCGCACACACAGACACACACACACACCACGCGCTAGTCAACATCATATATATTTGACTTGTACCACATAATTTTTAATCTGAAGCTACATATTAAGCATATTCAGGGCAGAGTATTGTTCCTGTTAGTGTTTAGTGTGAGATGATAGTAAATATTCCCTTTCTTTCTCCAGCAACTTTACCTGTTTTTAAGCTAACTTTAGGCAAACCAGCAGCACAACAAATATTTTCAAATAAGACTCACAAACCTGAGTCAACACCAGTCTCATCAAAGCTGGGGTTCTGTTGTTGTACTTTTGGTCTAAAAAAAACATCCTTATGTCCATCTTCTCTCATGCGTTTCAGGCAGAGAGTGTAGAAGAAGCCGGCTGCTGAGGGGCTTCTTCTTCAGTGGTGGAGGCTCAGGCAGGCTGTATACAAACTACTGCCAGCTGCTCCCTCTCTGTTGGACTTTGGTACGGCATGTTACTTCCGCGTTTTAGATCCGGGGCATTTCATAAAACATTCAGGGCTTGAGTCAAAGTAGCTGGGCCTAACCCCGCCCCTGGGCAGATCCATCCTTCCTCATAGAAGAGTTGGGTCATGATGAGGTAGAGGATGAAGGCAGAGATCCAGCTCCTCGGAGATCCAACGAGAGGAGTGGGAGGCGCCGCGCAGCTGTCAGTTCTCGATCTCCACAGCATGAGACAGAGCCACTCCCCACTCCAAAATGCATGTACATTATTGCCAAAATAATAAAATAAGTATAAATTCAGATAGTCCAGGTTGCCCTGAAAAAAATGATACCCCATAAGGCAGTATTTATTGTTTTTATTAGAAAATACAAAGTAAAAACTAAAATGAGTCAAAAACGGTGATATACACCCTGGAGCCCAGAGGTCTAATACTTTTTTTATTGTTATTTGCTATATTTATTCATATTTTTATAAATGTACAGTCTAGATTACCATTCTAAATTATAAAAAACATTCGTCATAAATGTTTGTTGGTTTCACAGTAAAATAAAAAACTTTTTCCCAATTCAGATTTTATGTTTTTGAGTGATTTAAGGTCTAATATGCAACCCCTTTATGTCGAAATATAAAAAAATAAGTATAAATTCATAAAGTCCAGGTTGTGCTGAAAAGATTGATACCACATAAGGCAGTGGTTATGGTTTTTATTTTGGAAATACAAAGGAAAACTCTAAATTAGTCAAAAACGGCAAATTACACCCTGGACCCCAGAGGGTTAATAGGATTCAGCAAGACATCTGCCTGAGCTTATGAGGATTACTAAAGCATTGTTTTGTCCAGAACCTCCCTTTATTTTGTAAAATTTTGCCTCCGTACTTAATGGAAAACACGAAAGTGTGTGGAAGTGATGCCTCACTGTCATTTGGCACAATTAAAATGTCAGAGAAGAGAATCAAATGCAAGCACTTCAGATATTAAACCATAATAGAACAATGTCCCCAGCTCTAACAAGTGGGTAGTGCAGTGGTACTTTTGTCCTTCTGTAACAGCAGAGAGACGTGCTCAATGTCCAGAAGCTGCTGCCAGATGTACGCCACCTAGCACCTTCATGCTTTCCAGCCGTGGTGTTATATGGGACATATGTGACGAGACATGTGTGTGATGTGATTCACAGCGTGTGGGAAGCTGATGAAGATCACTGGACCACTGACAGTGAAGACTTCGGGGACCAGGTTTGGAGCCTGGATGACTGACCCCCTGGCCCCTCCTAGAAGCAACAGGGTGAGCTCATTTTTCCACTTGAGGGATTAAAGGAATTAATTTTACTTTTGTTCAAAGTCTGTATCAAAATGCACGTGGTATGTTTCATACACAGGAAGTGCTGAACATAGCATTTTACTGAAAGTGTATTGAAGATTATTTGTTCTTATTCATCATAAGATTTCACTTGATTTAAATTTCCAAACAGTTTCTCCTTTCATTAAAAAAATAAGACTAAATCAAAACTGAAACCCTTACTATTCACTCTACACTCGTACACAATTACAGTTTTAAAGCATCAACAAGTTATAGCTATGTTTTTATAATAAAGTTTAATTTGGGCATGCTGCAGTAAGATAAGCTCGTGAAATCTGGAAAAAGATCTCAGTAGTTTTAATTTTTAAAAATCAGGTTATGGTACCATTTATTTAAATGGGGGTTGAGGGGCCTAAAGCTTGTACTGCAGCCAGCCACTAGGGGGTGCTCATTTTGATGCTATTTGTACAAAAAGTTATGTTGATGCTGTCCCAATACACAGTACAGCATGATGCAAATATATATATATATTTTTATTTTAAGTTGCACCAAATAACTGATGTGTTCTGTATTTGGAGCTACCTATAAGGTTCTAATTTCAGCACCTTAACATTCTCTACTTATGAAGTGAATGATGCCACCGAGTCACTCTGCTCTTGTCTTAACAACTTGTGCCCTTTAGCCACTAGACCTGCTAGATCCTCTCAGTCACACCCTTGGCTAAATGATACCCTCCGGTCTCTACGCACCAATCTTAGAGCTGAGGAACGGAAATGGCGCAAAACAAAAGATCCTGGTGATCAACTGAAATTTCATGAATTACCGTCCTCATTCTCTGCCAGCATCACCGATGCAAAGAAAGCTTTCTACACTGACAAAATTCTCAGCTCTACTGACTCTCAGAAACTATTTTCGACATTCAAAACTCTGCTCAACCCTCCGTCTCCACCTCCTACCAACAATCTATCAGCTGACACCTTTGCCTCATTCTTCACTGACAAAGTGGCAGCTATAAGCAAACAGTTTACTCAACTGGCTACTCCTGAACATTCACTACCACAAACTCCTTCTAGCCCAACCATCTGAAGCCCTACTGCTTCATTTTCCTCTTTTTCCCCTCTCACTGAGAACTGTGTGTCCAAGCTTCTCACGTGCAGCCACCCTACTACATGCCCACTTGACCCCATTCCGACTAAGCTGCTCCAAGCTATTGCTCCTACAGTAGCCGCAGCAGTCACACATGTGATCAACACTTCACTGACATCTGGTACATTTCCCACCTCTCTCAAGCATGCTCAGGTTAAACCGCTGCTAAAAAAAACATCTCTTCCTCCAAATCATGTGGAGAACTACCGACCTATCTCTCTCCTCCCTTTTCTGTCCAAAATCATTGAAAGGGTGGCTTTCAAGCAGATCACAGAACATACGAAAGATCAGACCATACCTAACACAACATGCCACCCAGCTCCTGGTGCAATCTACTGTCATATCCCGCCTTGATTACTGCAATGCCCTTCTAACTGGTCTTCCAGGCTGTACTGTGAGACCTCTTCAAATGGTCCAGAACTCAGCAGCACGTCTGGTCTTCAATCAGCCAAAAAGAGCACACGTCACCCCTCTGTTCATTGAGCCCGGCCGCTTCAGTCATCACAGGATCGTCGGCTAGCAGTGCCTACACCACGCTCAGGACAATCCAGACTCTTCTCATGCATCGTTCCACAAATGTGGAATGACCTTCCAAGCACTACCAGAACAGGGGCTTCCTTTTCAAGTTTCAAGAAACTCCTGAAGACCCTGCTCTTCAGAGAGCATCTTCTAAGCTAGCACCCTCCCTGCACCCCCCCCCCCCCCCTACCATCCACTCCTTGTTCCCTACTCTCCATGATTCATCATGCTGCCTCACTGCCACCTACGACTGACTGGAAATTGTTTGTTGTTGTTGTTATTGTTGTTGTTAGCCTCAAGGGCAACATGCCGATTATAACTTGTAAGTCGCTTTGGACAAAATTGTCTGCTAAACACATAAACATAAACATTAGACGTTAATTGTATGAAGATTTTTGAAGGTCCTGTGCAAATTTAACATTTTAAGTCACAGAAATCTTTATCAGCATCGTTTCAAGGCAAACTATGCAACATTTTCATATATTTTTTAATCATTTTCTTGAGCTAATATGTGCTAAAATGATCCTTCACAGTGTTAATGAAATGTCACTCAGACCCCCACCGCCCTCTGTGGCCAGAATATTTCACTTGCAACTTCTGAGTGCCGGTCCAGTCCCTGTTGGACTTAGTAGGGTGGAGCTCACATGCCTGACACTGCAGTCTGGGTCCAGCACGCTTCCTGCATGTTTTAGATGAAGACATGAACACAGCTGATTTGTTTGATTTAGTGATTAATCGCTCCTGTGGAAACTAATGAAGGCTGAAGAGACATGTCAGCAGTTAGATTAAGGTGTTAAAAACACGGACGCAAAGCGAGGAGATGGGTTTCACTTTTGATTTCACTAATGGGCCATTCCCATCTGTACCGGGTCGGCCCGGGCCGGGTAGCCCCAGTCGGCCCCAGCCTGGCCCGGTTGATTCCACACATCCTTGCCTTAAGCCCATGTGGGCTGATTCTATCCACCAATCAGAGGCTTGCTCTAATGGAAGGTGTGAATGGGCTGATTCTACCCACCAATCAGAGGCTTGCTCTAATGGAAGGTGTGAATTTGCTGTCAGCAGTGGGCGTGTTGGCCCTGGTCGGCCTGAAGCAGTACCCCTCGGGAAGAGGGCCGAGAATGAGCCTTGGTTGGCCCGGGAAAATTCCAGGCCACCCAGATATGTAAACAACCTACGCTACCCGGCCCGGGCCGACCCGGTACAGGTGGGAATGGGGCTTTTCAGACACTAGTGCTAACTCCACAGTATTCCTTTAAAAGTGCACAAGCTTCTTAATTATCCACACTGGAATGGCGAAGCTTATAGGGAGCCTAAGTCACTTCTGCATCGTGGGTCCCCGGAAGAATGAAAAAATGAATGCAAGTCATCGGGGATAAAAACACTATATTCTAATCTGCTTTGCCTTAGACCCTGGATCACACATATTTTGTACTGCAATTTAAATGAAAAGTAATGATGGGTGTTTCGACCATGCCAGTCACGTTCGTTGAGATTTATTAGCTTCTAAAAGTTCGTAGTTAGCCTGACTACACACTAGAAATCGGCACGTCACAAATGTGACGTGACCACATAATCTCCTCTCCCTAAAGTAGCTGCTACTTACCAAATGACCAGATTTATTTCCTCCTGTGGGAAGTTTGCTGAACTTACAGCCATTTTCCCTGAGTTCTCTCCGTGTCTGGTTCGATGACGTCGCTTTCATGAAGCGCATTTGTAGTCCTGGACTTATTTTCACACAAAACCTAAAATAGCTTTTGCATTTATTTGTCTCCAGGTCTGGTACATGGACAGTTACACCAACAACAAGATAGTAAAAGAGTACAAGTCCATCGCTGACTTTGTGGCAGGAGTGGAATCCAGAACCTACAACTTACCTTTCAAATGGGCCGGAACCAACCACATAGTGTACAACGGCTCGCTGTACTACAACAAGATGCAGAGTAACATCCTCGTGAAGTACAGCTTCGAGACGGGCCACGTGGTCACTCAGAGGGCGCTGGAATCGGCTGGTTTCCATAATGTGTACCCTTACACGTGGGGAGGCTTTTCAGACATCGACCTGATGGCGGATGAGCTGGGCCTGTGGGCTGTTTACGCAACCAATCAGAATGCAGGGAACATCGTCATCAGCCAGCTGAACCCAGACACGCTCCAGATCATCAACACGTGGAACACGGAGTACTCAAAGAGGAACGCCGGCGAGTCTTTTATGATTTGTGGGACTCTCTACATAACCAACTCCCACCTGACGGGAGCTAAAGTGTACTACGCCTACTCCACTAAAACATCCACGTACGAGTATACAGACATTCCCTTTCATAACCAGTACTTCCACATGTCCATGTTGGACTACAACGCAAGGGACCACGCTCTTTACGGCTGGAATAATGGTCATCAGGTCCTCTTCAACGTCACACTTTTCCACATCATTAAAACCGAGGATGACTCGTAAAGGAGGAAACTTTGTACAGAGAAAGATAAAGGAAGCTAGGGAAGTGGTTGTGCCTAAACATGCAGATGAGTTTTCTTCAATGTCCTAATTAAAGTGAGTTAATTTTATTTTCTGTTTATTCAAACTAATTGTATTGTAACTGATACTAGAAATATAACATTCTATAAAGTATAACACACAATTTGAGAGAAGTTTAAAGTAACATGCAAATTCTTTTTAAACTGATTAAAGGCACTTTAACTTTTAAACTTTTGCCACCTAAAAGTGTACTTTCAGGCCTTTACCGAAGTTTATTTTCCTTTGGAAATAAAAGGACTTTCAGTTCTTATTTTAACAATTTTGCTTTTCAGTTTGCACATTATTCATTCTCTATAATTTATTCACATTTTCTACTCTTGTCATTAATTGTTTTTATTCTTTTTTGCCATCAATTCATTACGATCACTTAATTTAAGCCTGCTTTTCACTGCCTTAGCTTTCATCTTGTCTTTGTACATCTTTGTTTTAGATTTCACAGGTTTTGCACTCGACTTTGTACAAGACACTAAGAAATGTTGTGGACCATAATGCACCTGTACAGATAATGGCCTTCTTTCTGTGTCTGTGGATAAGCCCAGCCATCATGGTCATGGGATATCTTGAAGTACTGAGTGAAAGCACTTAGCAAACACCAAAATCTGACTGCCTTTTACTGAGTACTCTAAGATATCGGCTTTTTTGTAATTCTAGCAACAGTGTATTCAGTGTTGTATGTTGTGTACACCTAAGAACGTCTCTCTCGCATGAGGATTGGATGTCCCACTGGAACTTTTATTATGAAAGTGTTCATTTTGTATTAGAAGAGCATCCCTTCCTCCTCCTCTAGAGTGATGATTTATGAGCTATTTGTAGTTTAGTTTATTAAACATTTCTTTATGTAAATAAGATGTTATTCATAACCTAATAAAACAAGTGTTTTCATTTTAAAAGCTGTCTCTGTGAACAGCCTAGGTGTGGAGGGCATCCGTTTTGGTGTCCTAAGGATCGGGTCTCTGCTTTTGTAGAAGATGTGATCCTGTTGGCTTCATCAGAACGTGACCTCCAGCTTTCGCTGGAGCGGTTCACAGCTGAGTGTGAAGCAGCTGGGATGAGAATCAGCTTCTCCAAATCAGAGACCATGGTCTTGAGTCAGAAAATAGTAGAATGCCTTCTCCGGGTCAGGGATGAGGTCCTGCCTCAAGTGGAGGAATGTAAGTATCTCAGGGTCTTGTTCAGGAGTGAGAGAAAGATCGAGCAGGAGATCGCTAGGTGGATTGGCGCTGTGTCTGCAGGGTTGTGGGCGTTTTACAGGTCTGTTGTGGTGGAGAGAGAGCTGAGCTGAAAGGTGAAGCGCTCAATTTAATGGTAGATCTACGTTCCTACCCTCATCTATAGTCACGAGAGAATGAGATTGCAGATAAAAGCATCTGAAACGAGTTTTCTCCGCAGGGAGTCTGGGCTTTCTCTAAGAGGTAGGGTGAGATGATTGGGTCATCCGGGAGGGGCTTGGAATAGATCCACTGCTCCTGTACATCAAGAAGAGCCAGTTCAGGTGGCTCAGGCATTTGGGATGCCTCCTGGACGCCTCCCTGGAGAGGTTTTTCGGGCACGTCCAACCGAGAGGAGATCTAAAGGAAGACCCAGGACACACTGGAGGGTCTATACCTCTCGGCTGGCCAGGGAACGCTTTGAGGTTCCTGTGGAGGAGCTGGCCCAAGCGCTTGGGCAGAGGGAAGTTTGGGCCTCCCTGCTTAGGCTGCTGCTCTAGGGACCCGGCCCTGGTCAAGCGCACGATAGTGGATGGATGGATCCCTGTTTTTGTGATTTAGCCACAAATATGCTTTTCTACAATCTGCACTATTGTGTTCTGCATTTTTTTATGTTTAAGGTATAAAGTTCACAAGTAGGTAATTTTCTACTGTTCCAAAGGACAAACCCAAATTATCTAGTTCCAGGACTGCCACATCTTTTGGTAGGAAACTAATATTGCTAAAATTCAAATAGTCAGAAACTTAAGAAGGTAAATAGTAGTTCATTTGGGAAGGGACAAAGTCTAATTTGAGTCTAATTGTAGGATCTGATGCTGTAATGAGATAAAGTCAAACTGTCTTCTCTTGTATAAACATAAATAATGTAAAAAAGATGAGATTGCTGAGATGAGAGCAGTTTTTTTATTATGTCTCTGCAAACACAATCTGTGCACTGCAATTCATGGATAGAAGGAAATTTGATGCAATTTTCCACATAATTGAAGTATTTTTTATTTTATTTTACAACACAAAGAAATACATTTTGGAGTTGTGAAACATTTATTTAAGGGACCTGCTGCTGCAGCAAGCAAGGCTCTGGTTGTTATGCACTTGGTAGCACATTAATCGCCTTTATCATTCTTCTTACGTGGACGTTAATGCGGCTCGAACAGCAGCGTGCACCCCCACAAATTATACACCAAAACGAGCGCCTCAGCGGTGGGAGGTGTGCTATTATTTTTCTAAGCGATCCAATTAGCCATGGCAAAAAATGTAGCAAAAAACCATCAAAACATTTCCCATTTTTGGGCTATCCTTTAAAAATTTGAGTGTGTGGCATTTTTTACATTTGCATAAAAACTGTCTTGTGCTAGGTGGATGGTCCCTTTTTAAATTTCTTCAGGAATTTTCTAGTTTGTTTTATTAGCAAATGTCTCTGTCCTGAGGAGATGTAAATCTGGCGTGAATTGCCGGTGGCCCCTCAGCGTTAAAACACAGACCTCTCCCAAGCATCAGTTGTGAAACTTGTCTCCATGTTGGATCAATGCAAGTCAGCCAGAGCGGAAATGTCTCAAAAGGTCAGGGAGGGAGAAACCCCTCAAGAAACAGAAAAGTATAGATCTCATGAGGCATTGATGTGTTGAGGCAACTCACTGTAAATCAGCTTGGGTCTGGGTTAAGGCTTGTTGGGAGATGGATAAGTGTAACAGAGATAAATACATTGTTTTTTTTTTACATTTTATATAGAACTCAAACAAGGCTAAATCCTACCAACCTGCTTTTTATTTCATTTCTAATAAAGCACAATTACATTTTATAACGTTTGATGTTTTCTTCTGAAAATTCTCCCTCACAGCTTTTTGTTTGCATAATTTCAGGCTAGTAAGCAATAGAATAAATAAGTTAGTTGAAAAGGGAAAATACAAACGGTGATGGATTTTAATTATATGAGGCTTTGAGGACAATCTCTCAGATAGGTATTTTTGGAAGCAGAGCAGAAGAATCTGGGAAGGAGCTGAATGCATCTGCTGTCTCGGATTGATCGTTGTGTCTGAAACCCAATCTGTGAGGAGTCAGAGTCCAGGATGTGTCTGTGCAGCCATGTTTCTGACAAACACAATAAGCCTCCTGTGTTCTTCTAAGCTCTCTTTTTTCATTTGCTTTATTTGCTCAGAGATCTTATCTTATTTGTGAACAGATTAAAGGAATAGTTAATCTATTATTGCCAGTGATCCTGCTTAAACCCAGAAAACACGTCTTCCCTTCAGCTTCAAGAGTTTGGAGTAAATTGGATTTTATCTTCCAAGCTAAGTTCACAAGTCCAACGTGGTAACCGTCCTCATGTTAGGTCACCATAACAGATGAAAAAAAATTAAACAATCTTAGAAGCATTATAGTCACACAAACAAGAGGAAATCTTGTTGGGCAATTACAAAAACTTGGAAATTATGAAATTCTGCCTCCCATATGGTTTATATTGGGTTGAATTAGGTTTTAGCATCAGAACCAGATTATTGAATAACAATAAAAATAAAATTTATTTATGAAGCACTTTTCATACAAATGCAGCTCAAAGCGCTTTACAATATTAAAAACAACCAGAAAGCAGCTGGTTTCCCACCCCTCCCACACAGATTCACATACGAGATCCCCTTTGTATCTCCCCCCCCCCCCCCCCCCCTCAATATCATTCCAAGCAGATGCAAACTCACACACACACACACACACACACACACACACACACACACACACACACACACGTAAAAGAGAAAGGGCTGCTGGCTGAGTGCAGATGTAGTAGGCACAAAGAAGACGGAAACGCCATCAAAGGGGCCAACTGCGCTGGGAGCAGCAAGCTCGGCAGCAGTAGCCCGGGCAAGAGGAGGCACGAGAAGCACCCCGACAGCCACAGCCAACCGCTGCCCGCCGGGCAGCCAGCTCCACAGAGGAAACACTAGTTTACTAATGAGACTAAGATAACAAGTTAAGAAACAAATTAAACATAAACAGCTGATGAATAAAAATCTAAATAAAACACACTGATAAAAGATAACCAAGTAGAAACATATAATTAAATATATGTAGGGGGTAAATATGATTGATTTTAAGCTTAATATATTACTTGTACTTATGACCAATAAGCTGTGACAGTTCATATAAATATGGAGTATCAATCTGATTGGTCTTTGAATGTTTAATCAGAAGATTCTAGGATTGTTTGCTTTTTCAGTGATCAAACACACTTTGTATCAATTCAGACAGAGTCAGGTTTATAAAAGGTAAGAATTTATTTTCTAAACAATTAAAAACATGACAAGTTAACTAAGACTACTGTGATGGATGAATCTAAGTGGATGGGATGTGATGTATGGTGATTGAATGGTGTGTGTTTATCAGAACCTTGTTCTTCTATCTAGAAGAACTCATGTTCTGGGTGTGAAAAGAATTTGGTCTGCATTAAACTATGAAGTTGGTGCTTCTCAAAATGGCATGAGATGCAATCTTGCTGTGTTCTACGTACCCCTGAGGAGGCCCTCTTCTCAGATCTGGAAGTCAGGGAGGTCAGGTGACGAGGTTCCGAAAATTAACCGCAGCACCGACTTCTCCGTTCCAGAGATGTCGCCAGGCGCACAGGTTGGAACTAGTTGCATCTACAGCAGCTGTTTCTGAGTATCTGAAGGAACTGTTTTGCTGTGTCAGCTGTAGGCAGCTTTTAGCTTGACGAAAGCTTGCCAAGAGATGCAATGGTTATAGAGTTTCCCTCTGACGGCCAGTCAGAGTTAGCTCAACTAACAGAATGCTGAATCTCACAGAATGCTAGAATGCTGGAATGCTGAATCACTCAAGTGATTCTGTTTTGATATTCTCATATTATGTTTTACTTGGCCAGTCGGGACGTGCCATGTTAAGAGTTGTTAACAAACAACCTTCTGAACATGGGGACGGTAATCAAATTAATCAACTAAAAGGGGCCTGCCGCTTGGCACAAGATAGCTGCCATGTGGTATAAAGGCCAAATATTTGAACCGTTTTGAACCAGTTGAGCTTTCAGAGTTATGTAAAATATTAGCTTAATCTAAACCTTAAACTTGCATTTTAGATCCAATCCCAACCAAATTATTTAAAGATGCATTTCCTTTGATTACTGCCCCCATTCTAGATATAATCAATATATCCTTAGTAAATGGATATGTACCACAGGATTTTAAGTTTGCTGTAATCAAACCTTCACTTAAGAAGCCTTCTCTGGATCCAGATGACCCAAAGAATTATAGAGCAATATCTAACCTTCCATTTTATCCAAAGTCCTGGAGAAAATAGTGGCCATCCAAGTTTGTCAGCATTTAAACACTAATGCTCTGTTTGAGGAATTTCAGTCTGGTTTTAGAGAGTATCACAGCACTGAAACTGCATTAGTGAGAGTTACAAATGATATTCTCATGGCCTCAGATAAGAATCTTGTGTCTGTTCTAGTCTTGTTAGATCTCAGTGCTGCCTTTGACACAGTAGATCACAATGTTCTTTTAGAAAGACTTGAACATGTTGTAGGGATCAAAGGTGCAGCGTTAGGCTGGTTTAAATCCTACCTGTCTGATAGATTTCATTTTGTAAATGTACATGACAAATCGTCTTCATACTCCAGGGTTACTTGTGGAGTACCACAGGGTTCAGTGCTGGACCAACTCTTTTTACTATATATG